CAAACCAAGTACTGAGTACATATGCATGCTTCTACTTTTCAGAGGTCCGATATTGTTCTATGTACAATCCTTGTTTTATTGATTGCATGGAATATTCTCATTTTCTGAGATTGTGGATTTGGGGTTTTCATGAGCTGTAAGCCATAATCATCACAATGATGACAAATCACGGCTTGAACTATCTTGCTTTGCATGTAATGAGTCTATCTCATATATTAGTTTCACCTTTTAAGTTGCTGCACTGAAATAAATGAACTTTTGCACGATATTCTATATTTTCAACTTTCACCTGTACATACATACATACCTCCCTCACACAGGTGTACGCTGGTAGTATGATGCTAAACAAACACCCACGCAGAAAGTGTGAAATAATGAAGCAAAAAACAAAATATTATAACATGAATAAGTAAAGAGCTTCCTGTCATCGACAAACCTAGGACAGGGCAGTTGGCAAGTGGTTAAAGTGTTACTAAAACCCAGGACCCTGCATTCACTATATCCGCTCTCCACCCGGGACCCTGCATTCACTATATCCGGTCTCCCCGGACCCTGCATTCACTATACCCGGTCTCCCCGGACCCTGCATTCACTATATCGGTCTCCCCGGACCCTGCATTCACTATAACTGGTCTCCCCGGACCCTGCATTCACTATATCTGGTCTCCCCGGACCCTGCATTCACTATATCCGGTCTCCCCGGACCCTGCATTCACTATATCCTGGTCTCCCCGGACCCTGCATTCACTATATCCGGTCTCCCCGGACCCCTGCATTCACTATATCTGGTCTCCCCGGACCCTGCATTCACTATATCTGGTCTCCCCCCCCAACACCTGCATTCACTATATCTGCTCTCCTCCGGACCCCGCATTCACTATATCATCCCTGGTCCTCCCCGGACCCTCCATCTCAATCACTATATCCGGTCTCCTCGGACCCTGCATTCACTATATCTGGTCTCCCCAGACCCTGCATTCAACTATATCCTTTCCCCCGGACCCCGCATTATATCAGTCTCCCCGGACCCGCATCTCACTATATCCCGGTCTCCCCGGACCCCTGCATTCACTATATCCTTGTCTCCCCGGACCCCCCGCATTCATTCTGATATCGGAGGTCTCCCCGACCCTGCATTCACTATACCCTGGTCTCCCCCGGACCCTGCATTCACTATACCTGGTCTCCACTCGCCCCCGGACCCTGCATTCACTATATCCGGTCTCCCCGACCCTGCAATTCACTATATCCGGTCTCCCCCGGTCCCTGCATTCACTATATCTGGTCTCTCCCCGGCCCCTGCATTCGCTATATCTGGTCTCCCACAGTAAGTACACAACATGAAGAAGGTGCAATTATTTTAGTAAATATAAACTTGCTAAATAATTTTTATCAGCAGTTAGAGCAGTCCTGTGACTTCTATCAGTGTCCAGCAGTGCACTGGTATTAAAAGCTTGTAGGAGGAGTTTTCATTCTGCTCTAGGAGGATGCAGGACCCCCTGACCCTCTGTCTGATAGTGCTGATTGGTCCTTAGTGCTATCACATGCACTCTCCCAAGAAAAAAAAAAAAACTCCTCTCTAGCAATGCACATTAAACTGAGCATGTGCAGAGTGACTGTCACATATGTCTTATCAGGAGATAAAGAGGGAGACACTGGAAGCAAGGGGAGGATCAGAGAAGACAGGATCAAACAGCTTTTTACACAATGCAGAGGATTAACCCCTTAGGTTCCACAGTGAGTATACCAAGCATGGATTTACTGCACTCTACAGACTGATTGTACTGTTGTGGGTTTAGTAACACTTTAACCTCTTCACACTGGCCACACACAAATGTGCGGCCTCACCGGCGTCACATGATCCCTAAACCCTGTCCCACCTTCTGAAACTCTTAAAGGGCGGAGGCGCCGGGGGGGGGGGGGGGGGGGGGGGGAAGGGGTTAATAAATGTCCAAAGATAGATATAGATAGATATATATCGAAATGTCCCAAAAGGATTTTTCTTGGGATACCTGACTGCGCTCGCATATATTCTCCACTTATGGACCACCCAAATGCAATATGTATTGCAGATGGGCAGCCAATGCAGGCAAAGCGATGTACCGGTACGTCGCTGCCTGTTCAGGGGGCACATACCTGTCCCCCGCCGACACCCACTGTGATTGTACAAAGTGGGAGTCTGTCAGCAGTTCCCAGGCGGGGGACCTGCTGATCGGCTGTGTCCAATCATAGCCCAGAGCTCTGTTGTTGACACCTCTGTACAGAGGGAATGATCTCTCTGTTTCTTATCTCTGTAAAGCGGGGATAAGAAACAAAGATCTGTTAGCCCTTTCCAGCCTTGTGGAGGTCCACAATTTTGCTCTGGTGCTAAATAAAAAAAACTATTTTTTTTTTCGATTTTGGGCCAGTTTTTCTTTGATAATAAAAAAAAATAAAAAATTAGGAGATATTCATTACCATTTACCACCAAAATGAAAGTCCAATTTGTCCTGAAAAAAATGCGGTATAATCCACATGGATGTACAAAGTAGTTGTGATGATGTGGACGTTTTACTAACACATGTCAACGTTGTGCAAAATTGTGCTTAGGCATTTAGATGTGTTTTACCCTCAGGTGTGAAGGGGTTAAGCACCAGAAAGCCCCTTTCCAAAGGCATCCCAAAAATCACCCAAGGAGTTTACAGCAACTACAGAATATCAGACATACAATCCCTTCATATCTCACCCATCAAATCAAAGAAACCCCAAAAATATATCTGTTGTGTCCATGACCTGTAAAGTATATCTAACCCCCCCCCCCAAAAAAAAAAAAAAAGTTAATATTGCAGCTGACCAGCCCTTAGACGTGGTGGCTGCATTCATTTTTTTTTTTTTTTTAACCTTTTAAGGCCATTTTTTTATTCTTTATTGTTACCTGTTGATCCCTGAGCATGCAACACACTGCTTGTCCAAGTGTGACATCACTCACTCTTACTGTACTGACATAACAGTTGATGTCACACTAGAAACAGGACTACAGAACACCGCCCACTTTTCTCATCTCCATAATAAAGGGATGTGGTTTGTAGTCTGAAGAGAACTGAAACTTCCTGCACACTCTACCTCTGTGACTGTTAGCAGCTCAATGGTTTTCTGGCAGGGAATCAACAGTATTTTCTTCCACTTACTGAACAGATAACAAAAAACACAAAAAACACAAAAACACTGGTTGTTATATAACAGAGCAATGGGGATCAGATTAGGGACATTCATTGTTAGTGTTTACATGCACTTTAAAGTGTTACTAAACCCACATCAGTACATCAGTCTGTATATGCAGTAAGACATGCTTGTTAGGGGTTAATGCTCCACATTATGTAAAAAGGCTGTTTGATCCTGTCTTCTCTGATCCTCCCCTTCTACTGTCCCCAGTCCATCTGCTGATAGTACAGAGCCCTAGAAGGCACTCGGCACACACTCAGTTTAGTGTGTATGGCTCTAGAGAGGTTTTTTTTTGTTTTTGTTATTTTGGGAGGGTGCATATGATCAGCACAGGCCAATCAGCACTGTCCAGACAGAGGGTCAGGGGGTCCTGCAGCTTCATCTAGGACAGCCAGAGCAAAATTAAAACTCCTACAAGCTTTAATCAGTGATTGGCCAAAACACTGATAGAAGTCACAAAACTGCTATATACTGCTGATGAGAAAAGGGATTAAGCAGCTTATGTTTACTAAAATAATTGCATTTTCCATGTTCTGTGTACTGTGGGGAGACCATATATAGGGAATGCGGGGTCCGGGGAGAGCGGATACAGGGAATGCGGGGTCCGGGGGAGAGCGGATACAGGGAATGCGGGGTCCGGGGGAGAGCGGATACAGGGAAATGCGGGGTCCCGGGGGAGAGCGGATACAGGGAATGCGGGGTCCGGGGGAGAGCGGATACAGGGAATGCGGGGTCCGGGGGGAGAGCGGATACAGGGAATGCGGGGTCCGGGGGAGAGCGGATACAGGGAATGCGGGGTCCGGGGAGAGCGGATACAGGGAATGCGGGCGGGGTCCGGGGAGAGCGGATACAGGGAATGCGGGGTCCGGGGGAGAGCGGATACAGGGGAAATGCGGGGTCCGGGGGAGAGCGGATACAGGGAATGCGGGGTCCGGGGGGAGAGCGGATACAGGGAATGCGGGGTCCGGGGGGAGAGCGGATACAGGGAATGCGGGGTCCGGGGAGAGAGCGGATACAGGGAATGCGGGGTCCGGGGGAGAGCGGATACAGGGAATGGGTCCGGGGGAGAGCGGATCAGGGGAGAGCGGATACAGGGAATGCGGGGTCCGGGGAGAGCGGATACAGGGAATGCGGGGTCCGGGGGAGAGCGGATACAGGGAATGCGGGGTCCGGGGGAGAGCGGATACAGGGAATGCGGGGTCCGGGGGAGAGCGGATACAGGGAATGCGGGGGTCCGGGGAGAGCGGATACAGGGAATGCGGGGTCCGGGGAGAGCGGATACAGGGAATGCGGGGTCCGGGGGAGAGCGGATACAGGGAATGCGGGGTCCGGGGGAGAGCGGATACAGGGAATGCGGGGTCCGGGGGAGAGCGGATACAGGGAATGCGGGGTCCGGGGGAGAGGGGATACAGGGAATGCGGGGTCCGGGGGAGAGGGGATACAGGGAATGCGGGGTCCGGGGAGAGGGGATACAGGGAATGCGGGGTCCGGGGGAGAGGGGATACAGGGAATGCGGGGGGTCCGGGGAGAGGGGATACAGGGAATGCGGGTCCGGGGGAGAGGGGATACAGGGAATGCGGGGTCCGGGGAGAGGGGATACAGGGAATGCGGGGTCCGGGGAGAGGGGATACAGGGAATGCGGGGTCCGGGGAGAGGGGATACAGGGAATGCGGGGTCCGGGGAGAGCGGATACAGGGAATGCGGGGTCCCGGGAGAGCGGATACAGGGAATGCGGGGTCCGGGGAGAGCGGATACAGGGAATGCGGGGTCCGGGGAGAGCGGATACAGGGAATGCGGGGTCCGGGGAGAGCGGATACAGGGAATGCGGGGTCCGGGGAGAGCGGATACAGGGAATGCGGGGTCCGGGGAGAGCGGATACAGGGAATGCGGGGTCCGGGGAGAGCGGATACAGGGAATGCGGGGTCCGGGGAGAGCGGATACAGGGAATGCGGGGTCCGGGGAGCGGATACAGGGAATGCGGGGTCCGGGGAGAGCGGATACAGGGAATGCGGGGTCCGGGGAGAGCGGATACAGTGAATGCGGGGTCCGGGGGAGAGCGGATACAGGGAATGCGGGGTCCGGGGAGAGCGGATACAGTGCGGGGTCCGGGGAGAGCGGATACAGTGAATGCGGGGTCCGGGGAGAGCGGATACAGTGAATGCGGGGTCCGGGGAGGGGAGAGCGGATACAGTGAATGCGGGGTCCGGGGGAGAGCGGATACAGTGAATGCGGGGTCCGGGGAGACCGGATATAGTGAATGCGGGGTCCGGGGAGACCAGATATAGTGAATGCAGGGTCCGGGGTTAAGTAACTTCAACCACTAGCAGGCTGCCCTGTAGCAGTTTTACTGCTGTGCAATATCACAAAATATATATATATATACACACACACATACACACACATACACACATATATATGAATACACACATGTGCGTGATTTCACATTTCCGAGTAGGGGGAGCATGCACCATCCTACCCGCACTGTTATTGGTTCCAATCACCAGGTCCTGGGCAGCAATTCATGACCGGGACTCTGATTTGTGGAGCAGCTGACAGAGGAGAGATCTGTGAGTGTAAACACAGATCTCTTTCCAGTCAGCGGGGATGTGCTGGTTTCTATCTCTTTGCAAAGCAGGAAAATAAAAGCCAACACATTCCCTAGTAAAACACACACAGCACACAGTTAACCCTTTGATCGCCCCAGATGTTAACCCCCTCCCTGCCCAGTGCCATTAGTACAGTGTCAATGCTTTTTTTTTTTTTTTTTTATCACTGATCACTGTATTGGTGTCACTGGGGATGTCAGTTTTCACCAAGTCAGTTCCCCCCCCCAGTGTTAGAATGTATGCCGCAGTCACGCTATAAGTCGCTGATCGCCGTCATTACTAGTTGAATCGCCCCAGATGTTAACCCCTTTCTACCCAGTGTCATTAATACAGTGTCTGTTTGTTTGTTTTTTTTTAGCACTGATCACTGCATTAGTGTCACTGCAGTGGTCACTGCAGTTAGTCAGCCCCCCCCCCATTGTCAGAATGCCCGCTGTACTATCGCAGTCCCACTATAAGTCACTGATCACCGCCATTACTAGTATTAAAAAAAAATAAATGTATACTATATATGCCATCATTTGCAGTTGCAATAACTTTCATGAAAACCAATTAATATACACTTTTTTTTTTTTTTTTTCTATCAAAGACATGTAGCAGAATACATTTTAGCCTACATTTAGGAAGAAATTTTTTTTTTTTTTTCATGTTTTATTGGATATGTTTTATAGCAAAAAGTAAAACTTTTTTTTTTTTTAAATTTCGGTCTTTTTTCATTTGTAGCGCAAAAAATGAAAAAATCCAGTGATGATCAAAATACCACCAAAAAAGAAAGATCTATTTGTGTGAAAAGTGATATGTCAATCTGAGTTTGAAAATGCATCCAAAATCTCACATGCATGAAGTTGGGTGGCTCTATTCACACCTGGGAGTTTTGGGATCTTGGCAGAATCGCTGTGATCACAAAACGCAAGTTCAGGTGCAATTCTTTTCAATGGCACCTAAAGCATGGTATAGTTTTGCTGTGATTGTAGCGTGGCAAATCGCATTGCGTGAGGCTTATCGCCTAAAAGTTGCCTTGCCCCGGGCGCCGACAGCCCACGCTACGCAAAAAATAGAAAAAACACAAAAAAAAAAAACCAAAACTGGCTCCTAGATTCAAAGAAATTTATCAAGCCTTGGACTATAATGCTTCTTGTAAGCATTCCATGTAGTCTCTTACAGCAAGGTGGACTATACAACTGAAAAACTAAAAGGGAAATAAATATATATATATATATATATACATACATACACAGTGGGGATCGAAAGTTTGGGCACCCCAGCTAAAAATTTGTATTAATGTGCATAAAGAAGCCAAGGAAAGATGGAAAAAAAAAAAACTCCAAAAGGCATCAAATTACAGATTAGACATTCTTATAATATGTCAACAAAAGTTAGATTTTATTTCCATCATTTACACTTTCAAAATAACAGAAAACAAAAGAATGGCGTCTGCAAAAGTTTGGGCACCCTGCAGAATTTATAGCATGCACTGCCCCCTATTCAAAGCTGAGACCTGCCAGTGTCATGGATTGTTCTCAATCATCGTCTGGGAAGACCAGGTTATGTCAATCTCAAAGGTTTTAAATGCCCAGACTCATCTGACCTTGCCCCAACAATCAGCACCATGGGTTCTTCTAAGCAGTTGTCTAGAAAACTGAAACTGAAAATAGTTGACGCTCACAAAGCTGGAGAAGGCTATAAGAAGATAGCAAAGCGTTTTCAGATGTCAATATCCTCTGTTCGGAATGTAATTAAGAAATGGCAGTTATCAGGAACAGTGGAAGTTAAAGCAAGATCTGGAAGACCAAGAAAAATATCAGACAGAACAGCTCGCAGGATTGTGAGAAAAACAATTGAAAACCCACGTTTGACTGCACGATCCCTCCAGAAAGATCTGGCAGACACTGGAGTTGTGGTACACTATTCCACTATAAAGAGATACTTGTACAGCAAATATGGTCTTCATGGAAGAGTCCTCAGAAGAAAACCTCTTCTACGTCTTCACCACAAAAATCATCGTTTGAACTTTGCAAATGAACATATAGACAAGCCTGATGCATTTTGGAAACAAGTTCTGTGGACCGATGAGATTAAAATTGAACTTTTTGGCCGGAATGAGCAAAGGTACGTTTGGAGAAGAAGGGGCACAGAATTTAATGAAAAGAACCTCTGTCCAACTGTTAAGCATGGGGTTGGATCAATCATGCTTTGGGGTTGTGTTGCAGCCAGTGGCACAGGGAACATCTCACGAGTAGAAGGAAAAATGGATTCAATAAAATTTCAGCAAATTTTGGATGGTGACTTTGATGCCATCTGTGAAAAAGCTGAAGTTAAAGAGAGGATGGCTTCTACAAATGGATAATGATCCTAAACACACCTCGAAATCCACGGGGGATTACATCAAGAGGCGTAAACTGAAGGTTTTGCCATGGCCTTCACAATCTCCTGACCTCAACATAATTGAAAATCTATGGATAGACCTTAAAAGAGCAGTGCGTGACAGACAGCCCAGAAATCTCAAAGAACTGGAAGACTTTTGTAAGGAAGAATGGGCAAAGATACCTCAAACAAGAATTGAAAGACTCTTGGCTGGCTACAAAAAGCGTTTACAAGCTGTGATACTTGCCAAAGGGGGCAGTACAAGATATTAACTCTGCAGGGTGCCCAAACTTTTGCAGACGCCATTTTTTTGTTTTCTGTTATTTTGAAAGTGTAAATGATGGAAATAAAATCTAACGTTTGTTGACATATTATAAGAATGTCTAATCTGTAATTTGATGCCTTTTGGAGATTTTTCCATCTTTCCTTGGATTCTTTATGCACATTAATACAAATTTTTAGCTGAGGTGCCCAAACTTTCGATCCCCACTGTATATATATATACAATATATATATATACATACATACACACACACACATATACACACACATACACACGAGTTAGACAAAAATATGGAAACACTCCATGATTTGCAGGTGTGAAAGGCCCGACCGATTTTGTGTTGAAAGCGGAAGTGATGTAACATTCTTTTGCTTCCACTGTGTGATGAGACACCTAGCCAACAGGGGGAGGCCTCGCTTACGTCATTCACTGCGTGCGCTGCTAATAATACGGAGTCATGTCAGAGCTTACTGAGCTTCAAAGAGGGCAAATAGTTGGTGCCGCTTAGCTGGTGCCTCTGTGACTGAAGAGGTCCAGGATCAAAGGTTACGACTCCATATACAGTTTCCAGGAAAATGTTGTCTATTAATCATAACCGCGGTCGACATGGTCAACTGACCGAAAGAGAAAAGGACATTGGGCAGAATCGTGACCCGGAATAAGAGGACAACTGCTGCAAATATGACTGCAGAGCTCAATCTCAGTCCCGTGAAGACGGAGATTGAGCTCTTCAGTGACTTCTGTAGCATTTTTTCCCCTTGTTTGGGGGGGGGGGGGGGGGGTCACAATCCTGCACAACGTCCTTTTTGTCTCTTTCGGTCAGTTGTCTATTAATCATAAGCGCAGTCGACATGGTCAATTGACCGAAAGAGAAAAGGACATAGGGCAGAATCGTGGCCCAGAATAAGAGGACAACTGCTGCAAATGTGACTGCAGAGCTCAATCTCAGTCCCGTGAAGACTGAGATTGAGCTCTTCAGTGACTTCTGCATTTTTTTTTTTCTTATTTGGGGTCACAATCCTGCGCAAATGTGACTGCAGAGCTCAATCTCAGTCTTGTGACCCGGAATAAAAAAAAAAAAAAGCTGCAAATGTGACTGACGAGCTCAATCTCAGTCTTCACAGGACTCACCTGTGAAGACTGAGATTGAGCTCGTCAGTCACATTTGCATTTTTTTTTTTTTATTCTGGGTCACAATCCTGCGTCTCTTTCGGTCAGTTGTCTGTTAATCATAAGCGCGGTCGATATGGTCAACTGACTGAAAGAGACAAAAAGGACGTTGCGCAGGATTGTGACCCCGAATAAGAAGAAAAAATGCTGCAGAAGTCACTGAAGAGCTCAATCTCAGTCTCAGTCTTCACAAGACTGAGATTGAGTTCTGCAGTCACAATTGCAGCATTTCTTTTTCGTATTCCGGGTCACAATCCTGCACAGTGTCCTGTTTGTCTGTTTCGGTCAGTTGACCATATCGACCGCGCTTATGATTAACAGACAACATCTTCTCAGAAATTGTACATGCCGTCATAACCTTTGATCCTGGACCTCACGACACGGCAAATACATTGGCAACTTCAGTCACAGAGGCAGCAGCACCAACAATTAGACCTCTTTGAAGCTCAGTAATCTCTGACAGCATGGAAGACTATAGAACAGAAATATACCATTTACATGTAAAAAAATAATTATATAATATATACACACATATACACACGAGGTGGTATCAAAAAGTTTTGAGACTGGTTTTGTAACACACCAACAGATGACAGGACAAGGGCAAGGTTGCACACAGTCACAGGGAGCACCGACTTTCATAAGTCAGTGTGCCAAAAGACATCGTCCTGAGTACATCGGGAGCTGTGCAACTGGTGCTATTCTGACCGCTTGTGTTACCACGTCTGTTATTTCATCATGGTAATAATATTAATAGTAATAATAATCAACTTGGTGTCATCACTCTCATCTCATACAGCAGTGCAGAGTACGTCCGGGATCCCCCCCCTGGTGCAGAGTACGGCCGGGATCCCCCCCCCTGGTGCAGAGTACGTCCGGGATCCCCCCCCCCTGGTGCAGAGTACGGCCGGGATCCCCCCCCCTGGTGCAGAGTACGGCCGGGATCCCCCCCCCT